GATTATTTTCAAATTTAAAGAAAAAATTCCATAATTTATTATTATTAAATATTATGAAACATTTTTTTTTTGTGGGAATATTCACATTAGTATTGTTTCGTTAGTATTGAATTTGGAACGATAGAATCACCCACATATATCAAGTAGACTGCTTAAAAGAGATTCCTGCAGAAATTTGAATTGTCAACATAGAACCGTTAAGTTCTGTTGATTTTAAATTCAATTCCAAACTCGAAATCTTCTACTGAACTTGTGTTATTTCATTAAACGCATTTCAGAAATTTTGCATGCTTTCAAGAAAAGTTTGAAGATGATTGTACTCATATGATCGTTATAAATAAATAATTAGTAGTAGTGTGCGAGTCACTATGATTAGCAGATTCATAACAATGAATGATCAGTACGAAGAATTCAGTTATCTTTGAGTATCGCTCATCAATGTAAACATGAGTCATTCTCGCAATCTCGAACAATTCTTGTCCATTTGTTGGGTAAAAAGCTCACAAATTTTTGATTGATAATCGAATAAAAGTAATCGTTCATTGAGTCACAATGCTACCTAACATCTAATTTTGTGATAAAGTGTCTGTTTCCCAATTTCTTCCCTTGTTGCCAAAAGTCAACGTTTCAGCACGACGTATTTCTCTTTCATCAATGATTCTAAAATTTTAATGCAATGCCGTTCATTGCTTTCAAAAGACAGAAAATAAGAACAAGTTTTCCATCTTTGAAATATTTTCGAATCATTGTTTACTACATATCGAAAATTTTAGCTTTTCGATGAATTGAAGTTCTAATCATCTTTGACATTAGCCTATTTTACAGACAAACTTCTCACATCACCGATTCCCTAAATGGCTATAATACGTTTTAAGTCGATGATAATATCAGAATATCCGAAACAGAAACCTCTGATAGAACTTGAGGCAAAATCATTTTATTTTATTGGAATCATGGTCATCTCCCAATCCCAATGAGATAATACAATTCGAAATGACTGTATTATTCGATCACTTGTCTAAAACTATGATGAGAGCGTTAACGCAATGTCAATTTTCAAAAATTATCAGGTTTGATCAATGTTGAATTTTTGCACCCGATGATTTTCATTATCACTCACGTAGAGATTGCCTTCTCGATCAAATGATAGACCGATGGGGCCAAAGGTTTGATTTGATTGACTTCCAGAACCATTTCCACCAATAATGACACTCCCTTGTGTAGCTTCTGGAGTCCAATGCATTATTCGATGATTCGAATAATCAGCTATATACACTCTACTTGACTGATCCACGACAATTCCATAAGGATTTGATAATTGCGTAAGTTTATTTCCTTTACCTTGACCACCAGCTACAACAATGCCTTGTTTCGCATCTTCCATCCACTTCATTACACGATGATTTATCATATCTGATACGTAGACTGAACGATCTCGATCAACGAATACGTATCTCGGACAATTCAACTGATCGAGTTGATTTCCTGGCCCATTTCCACCTGCAACTATTGTTCCTTGACTTTCTCCTATTTGATATCGTCTGACTTCATGTTCATCGTTATCAACAACATAGAGAAATCCATCATCGTCCATTGTCAAACCAATACATGCAACATTTGAGATGATCGTTTCTCCATTTGAACCATTTTGACGAGGCCATCGAACTACTCTTTTATTGCCATAATCACAAATGATAAGACTATTTCTTTCTTTATCGACTATCATATCATATGGACTGTTCAACTGATCAGATTGATTTCCTTGTCCATTTCCACCGGCTACAATTCGACCGGTCGTGGCACCACATTTCCATACCACAATACGATGATTGGCGTGGTCAGCAATGTAGATATTTTGATCATCATCAACACATAGACCTAATGGATAGCAGAGTTGACTCATTCCACTGCCTCCTCCATCTGCTCCAGCCACAGTGACACCATTCCGTATCCATGTTGCATTTGCACTCAGATATGCACTGCGTAGTAATGGTACTAAAATAAAACGCAATTTAACTCATTGACATCGAATCAATATACCTCGATGAAAGGTTTTTCATCTTTCAAACAAGCGTTAATAGCAAAGTGCTATGATGAATCGTCAGTTTGGGTGAAGAAAGCTTGGCAGTACCCCTTTTTTTGAATAGATAATTGTTCAAAATAGTTGTAGAATATGGAAATAACTATTGAATTTTTATCGAAATCGATTGATCATTCTAAATACTTGTCAAAAATTGTTCTCTTTGAAATCGATACAATTAGGCTTTTTGCTTCAATAATTTTTTAAATAAAGGAAATCAATTGAAGATCATCAATACTAGATGAAAAATGAAATTCACATTTGAGAACTCTTGATACGATTTCAATGGTGAAATAAGAAATATTTTTAGAAAAACATACAATTGATACTTTAAGAAATACTTAATAAAGTTTTATTCAGTTCGATTTTTCTTAAAATCAATCAGATGAATCTTTGGAATGCGACAAAATAGTTGAGAAAAATATTGTCAACTTTCTCTGATTATTTAGAATTTCACAGATGCAAAAATTTTGAAATAAATATTCAATACAAATATTTATCTTGGAAAAAATCAAGATCAATAATACACTCGAATAAAGAAAGGTTCACAACAAATTGTTAACACAATATCTTTTTATTCGCTTTTAATTGAATGTTAGTAAAGAATGAAGAGAATCGAACTTTGATTTTCTCATAATGATCTTTGAAAGCAAATTCTGTAATCACTTTCGAATATTTTTTTTTTATTGGTTGCGATTTTTGAATGAAAGAAAATGTTCGTTTTTCTATTTGACCATCAAAAATATTGACTTAAGTATTTCGTTGATAGGATCAGATTGATCGGAAATCGAAGATCGCACGACTCACTTTTTTTGTGCACTTTAAAGAAAAAGTCGAACATTGACTAAATTGATTTGTTCTTCGATAGAGATCAACAAAGTTTCTCGTGATATATCATTGTCTCTCAACGTGAAAACTCGAATTGAGCTCAACTGTCGACATGATATGCAGAATACTTTTTTTGAAGAATTTATTCATTAACAGTATGTTCATTCATATCTACTTGAAAAACAAGCTATTTCATATCGGATACATCATGATAGTTTTGTTTTCATACTGGGTACTATGAAACATTAACTGAATATTTTACTATGTTCGATGACTATTCTTCTATTCAAAAGAAAAAGAAAAATCACAGTTAAGTTACTACGAATACAAGACTCAATAAAAACCAATCATCATGTATAGATATGGAGAGTTGTTGCACAATTCTGTATTATTTCTCTCTCAACAGTGAAGATTTTACAAGAGAAACTTTTGCGCTCAGTGTTTCGTCTTGATGAAGTTTCAGAATGAAATTATGTGGCATGAGAAATCTTACGATTAGATGTAATGTCAATGGTTGAACTAATTAGAAAACTGGCATTTTTTTCTAATAGTAAATGATCGTATAATATCACTCTATTCATACTTCCAATGACACTTAAAATAATTTGTCAGTAAACTTGTTTTTGTATTCTATTCTAATTCAGAATAAAAAGATTCTCATTTCATTCGATGAACAAAATTCGATAAATAATCTATCGAACTTAGTCAAATACAACAGAAAATATTCTGATATCTCTGTAATCAGAATCATATAGGGTCTGTTTAAATGTGTTGAGAAATATACTGGACAATATTCAATGAAGAGTTTTGAATATTGTCTCATCTCATTTTAAAGATTTCATCATCCAACAAGAATATGCTCTTTCTATTGGATAAAGAATTGTAGTGACTCAAATAGTTGATTCTCATAGAAACGTTGAATTCGTTTGTTTGTTCGTTCGTCATTCAATAATTCATTGATGAAATTATTTTCAGACGAATGAAAATCTTCTGGAATGATTCTTGTTTTAGTATTCATTAAATTTTCTAAAAGAGTTTCTATTCGTTAAATTCAATGATGTACTTATTTATTCAGATTTTAGATGAAATATTCACGATTTAGGATTAATGAAAAATGCATGAATAAATAGATGATCTTGGAAATATTTTGATTCTCATTGAAATTTTGCCAATTTTTTTTACAAGAAAAAAAGAAAAAAATTCTATTTGCATAGATTTTTTTGAACGATTCGAATTTCTGACTATTTTTAGTTCGATATACTCACAGTTTGGTTGTTTTTCTCTAATGTAGATAAGTCGATTCCAATCAATTTGATCATTGTCCACAATGATGGTTTTATTTGTAACTTTTCGAATAAATTTTTGAAATGTTTTTTGAATTTCATTGAGTTTTTGTTTAAGTCGATCAATATCATCTTCAATAAAAGTTTCTTCTTCTTGATGACAACGAATTTCTTTTGTAATTGATTCAAGTTGTTCTCTTATTTTTATTCTTTGTTTATTGATTAGTTCGATAAGTTCATGATGAGCTCTTTCTGCTGCTTGTTCTACTCTATCGATTGTTGTTTTTTTCCATTCTTCAATTTTAGTAAAAAGATCCAATGACAAATAATTTGATTTTTCTAACTCTTGAATTTGTTCATAAAGTTCATTGTGAGATCTCACTACTTCAGTATCGAATTTTATCGACAGTTGTTGTTCATGTTCTTTGAAATCCTTCGAACAAAAATATTTTTTACATCCAATGCAAGAGTATTTAACAGGAGGTTTATTGCAGATTGAACATAACTTTAATTCATTTTCTGTCGTCATTTCTCGTAGAAGAAAATCAGTCGAATTATGTAATTTGTTATGATAATATCTCGAATAATCTCGATCTAAAATACATTCATATAAATGTTTATAAAGAAATAATTTCAAATGATTTATCCAATGTTCTTCTTCTACAGCTTAAATCAAGCCCCATTCAACTATCTCAAATATAACTATATTTGTGTTGAAAAAATAGTCACAAGATTGAATCAACCTCCGATCAATTTGTATGCTTACGACATAATCATTTTATAAATCTTAATATGTTGACTCGCATTGATTTTTCAAGAAATAATTTGAAAACAGTAAACATACCCGCAATTCACAAGTGCCAAAATCAGCTCATTTTTCTGCTTTTTTTCAAGGTATAATTACCTAGGGAATATGCTTTTACAAAGTAATTGTACATTTTGATAGAACTTGAAATTCTCTATCATCCTATATATATAT